GAGGCTGTATGTTTCTTGGTACTCTTTGTGGTGGCGTCGTGTCTACATGAGGTGTTTCATAGGAAATTGTCGCCGATGTTTGTGTTGGCTCAGATTCAACCATGTATTTGAGTCCAGGAAAATGAGGTTAATTAAGTAAAGTCATCCAGATTGAAGGGGTTGCTCATGCCTTCATAATTTTGTTGAGGTGGTTGGCTCGATTAGACTATGTTAGGACGATAGTCGGCTTGGTTGAAAGGTGACATTAGTGTAAATGTCTGGGTGGATAAGGTTTGATGTGGTGTTTGATACTCCATGTTAAATTGGTATGTAGTATCGTAGGAGTATGATTGAAAGAGTGGTTGGGTTTGTTAGTATTAGGATTGGAAAAAAAACTCTGTTGGAATGAGGGATTGGTAAGGGGTATGTTCATGGAGTTATGGTTGTGTGAATGGGGATTAGGTTAGTTGTTGGGTTGGGGGCTGGGTTGGCAGTTGAGTACGTGATGATGTGCTCGTTGGCGTGGGTCAACCAAATATCTTGGATGATAAATGAAATAATGGTAACCAATCTATACCAAAGTAGCATCTTTATCGAAGACTTGATTTGTGAAAAAATAACATATTCATATCTTCTAAGATACATGTTTGAATATGCAGATATTAAGAATGAAATTGTAAGAAACAAATGTAATTTGAGTGTGAAAGAATCTGAAAGTAATGATATTTATTTATACAAATTTTTTTATAAATAAAATAAATAAATATTATAATATTATATAATATATTAAATATTAAAAATTAAATATATTATTACGTTTGAACTATATTGTTATTGGCTCCCCTTTTAAAACTTAAGAGGTGATTCCAAAGTTATTGACAATCTCTGTAAAATTTTAAAGACAATTCTAAAGCTATTGGTACCCTACTTTAATCTTTAAAGAAAGTTTTACCTGTATTAGCTCTCTATTTTTAAGTTTTAAAAGAGATTTTAAATTCAATGGCGCCCCCTTTCACGATAACCTTTTTTTTAAAACTTGAATATTTTGATACGTTTGTTAAAAATATACGTAAATTGGATATATACTTACAAAACATGATTATATAGATAAAAAATTTCTTTATTTGCATTCACTTTACATTTATATTTTATAGTAATAAATATATGTATCGATAGTTAAATATGATGATAAAAATATGCATCCTTAGTTAAATGATAATAATTTTAAAAAAATGAATGCCATTACTATTCTTTAAGATAGAATTGTTTATTATTTTATTATTTTTATCTTTTTATTTATTATTGAGTACACTATCATAAATATATGTATTGAAAGTTAAATAATAATGATTTTTTAAAAATGAATGCCATCACTATCCTTTAAGATAGAATTGTTTATTATTTTTATCTTTTTTATTTATTATCGAGTACACTATTTAAAATATATTAATGAAATTAATTTAATAAAATGTTAATATATTTTAATTATTTTATTTTATTTTTGAATATGTGTGCAAATTTTTTTTTTTTTTCATAAAACGGAGAGAATATTAAAGCGGTGGAATGTATAGATAATAAAATTATGAATCATGATGAATTTGATTCCTTCTCGTGCTCACAAGCAATTGGTTTACAACTCGCGTGGTTGAAATTTTAAGATAAAAAAGAAGGATAATGAGTCTTACAAGTTGAAAAGAGAAAATATTGGATCTATTGACATGATGCTTTCATAATTTCATGCGTGGAACAATGGACCATATATCCCATTATCTTCCAAAAGAAATTATCAACTTCATGATGTAGGTTGAAAGCCATAAAAATAACCCTCCATGATCTTTCCTCAATTTCATAGGTTGATAATGTCAATTTGATTTTTTTAAATTTTTTTTGTCAAATAATAATTTAGTCATATGTAACAAAGTTTATATAAAAATAGAAGGTAAATAGACACTACGCCGTATCACTGTCCCTTTTCGAATGAAAAAAATAATTTTCTAAAAACTATGAATATTGGAGATACAATATTGATATGTATAAATTTTTGGACTCTTTGTAAAAGATCTACTGTTTTTGGTGCTAGAAAAACATGTTGATTGTCGGAACACACTTTCTCATTATAGCAAAACCACCCGTCCTCGATCCCAGCAATAAAGACACCTTTGTTAAGTCCACACATGCAGGTTTCTCTCCTACCCGCTCGTACACTATAAAATATGTTGGTTTAAGTGTTGATCAGTGATCTCCCCTTATGTGGATCGGTCAAGAAATTCACAAACGTCATTTTCTTCATAGAGACTCCAACATGTCGAAATATGTTAAATATGACATTCTTAACAAGGTCATGTCCGTATTGAAGTTTGGAAGCTTCTTACAATGAGTCATGTGTTGCCTAAACGTATCCAGACACGCCTTGCGATAAACAAGACAAACATCATCAAAAGGAAATAAAAAAGCATAAGAGGTATATAAGAATAGTACAGATATTCACCAATGACATATGTTTACCTAACCCATCAATAAGAATAACATTGAGAAAGTCCTGAGCATGTGCGGTTTGCAAACAATCAAAAAATACTTTATTTTGTTGATGTCATCTCAAGTTTTACACTTATGTCCTAAACATTTTTAATAAAACGGGATCTTGCTAAAACATGTTGTGTTTTAGGAGGGAGAACATCATTACTAGTAAAACTGCTAAGATCAAAATTTGGAACCGCGACACTAAAATTATCTAAAGCTCTGTCAAAATTATAGTACATACCATATACCTCATTGCCTCTCAATAGTTGATCATGTAACAGCCAAGATTGAGCCCTAGAAGTCACAAAAGAGTATGAGGCAACATCTACTTCAAGAACAACCCAAATCGCCCAACTCTAATGGATAATAAAACCATCTTCCATTGAAGGTCCCTGAAAAAAGGCTTTCATCAACCACGATGTATTCAACCGCCCTTCGTAACTCTTTATCAAACCATGTGATTAGGTTGCACATTATTAGGCAAAAAAGAATTTGACAATACTCATGCAAGATCGAAGTAGAAGAAGCTCACTTTCAATATCCCTTAGTTGTGAATTGTAATATAAAATGAATTAATTCAATAGTCATGAATGCTCTCTTCATGAACAACTCCTTGATAAAGCCTTCATCTCATCTAACAACCCTCCAAGCAACTTCATTTCTAACATTAGTCTCTTAATAGCCGATGAGAACAAATCCTCACAAAGTTTACTACCATCACGCAAATGTCAAAAGATTTTAGTCTTACAAATATTCAATTCGAGACTGAAACGTAAACCTATCTCCGGAATGATGTTAAAGATGTTAGTCACCTCCTATAAATCCCATATAATGGTCACGTCATCCAAATACTGGGTATGAAAAAGAAGTTTACAATTGTCTCTAACTTGATAAATGAGTGAAGGTAGCACAAGAGCAAAATGAAACGGTCCTAATGAGTCATTTTATTGCACTCTAGTAGCTTGTATAATACGTATATCCCCAAAGTAGTTATTTGGCCATAAAGAAACTCAATTCACAAAGAAATAGATGAGCATCTCACCCTCATCTCGTGTAAGATAGTTGATCGATCTACTATGTTAAAAACATTCGAAAAATCTACCATAAACATAATCAAAAAACCATCTCTATGTCGCTTGCTTTAACACCTTATTAGCACCATATCAAAGGTGCAGAAGCAACAAATTTTTTCAAACTCATGAAACATCTTCATAATCATAAATTATCAATTAGATTGATTTCATATAAAAGATCTCTTATAATAAGCTATAATATGCTTTTAATAGGTAAATTTGTTTGGAAGAGGATAAATTTATTAACAAAATTCATATACATCTCTTTCTTTTTATACTTCTTCAATATCTTAATCAATACTATTGAGTTAAACTTCTTATCCTATGTAATGGATCAAAATGTTATCTTGTTTTAGATAACAAAGAATCATACATGTTCCAATACCATTTATGACTATTTAATGAGAATATTGGAGTGGAGAATAATTTGATTGAAGGAGAAGTTTGTAAGAACTAATAAGATGTAAAAAAGAGAAAAAAAATTTCAAGAAAATAGTAAATCCTAATTGGTAGATGGGAAGAGTACATTTGGTGAATTATTATTTGTGGTGGTGAGGTGAGTGAGTGGAGTAGTTATTAGAAAAAGAAATGATAGTTATATGTTCTATTATAGTACATACTATGAATATTATATGCTGGAAGAAGTGACAGATGGAACCAAATACTATGAAACATTGAAAGCTGACCCCATACATTGTGGAGTTATATATCTAAAGTCACTTTTGAAGTGGGGAAGAGGGACAGAGAAAGAGAAGGTTAGAGAATCATACATTGGTGGGAATAATTGACCATAATACACTCTTGTTTCCTTATTTTACTTTATACATGCAATAACTTGTTGATTCAACTTAGGAACTGGAAAAACTACTGAAAAAAATTATTTTTTAAATTTATTAATAAATCTGAAATATTATATTAATTTATCTGTACAACTTAATAATTAAAATATATTTAAATCTTCACCTCTCACCCTTTATTAGTCTTTGAGACACATTGAAAACACAAGAACCAGTTATGTCTTCTCATAATAATCACACTCATAGCAACAAGCAATGAAAACAAATGTCTCCTATTCCAAAGCAGTGTTCAGGTGATTTTCAAAAGCTAACTACTTTCGTTTCCTCTATTGAAAATGGCTTCAAAGTAGTTTTCATCTCTAAACTTGTCTCAAGTAAGCCTTTCTTTGTCATGAAACTCTGTTTGTTCTTATGGATAGAGAATCTTGATGATGTTTCAACTAAAATTGACAAGGAAAAAAGATGAAACAAATATTTGCATGTAATGTTTTTGTTTTTGATATTTTGATGTTGTTAGTTCTCTATGTTAATGTTTTTGGTTTTCTCTATCTTGTGTGTTGAAAATGAGTTCTGTTTGGGGATCGATTGGTACTCTATTTGCAGGAGAAAATAAGATTTTCACTGCTAAATCATGAAACAAATCATTGATCTTGAAGTGGAAGCATATGCAGAATATGAATCTGAAGTAACAAGCCAAGTTGCTTCCAATCTATCGACTCAAGAAGCCTCTTCCAACATCACAAACCCTAACTATGACGATATATCTCTCGACTTATCTCTCAATTTCAAGAACAACGAGACACCAACAGCAAGAGATTCAAATTTAATAGGATTCTCACTCTCAAGCACTTCTGAGAGCAGCAACGAACCTGCATCATCAACAGTTCCAAGAGTTTTCTCTTGCAATTACTGTCAGAGAAAGTTTTTCAGCTCGCAAGCTCTTGGTGGACACCAAAATGCTCACAAAAGAGAAAGAACATTGGCGAAAAGAGCTATGAGAATGGGAATTTTTTCTGATAGGTATACTGCTAGTTTAGCATCTCTACCTTTGCATGGTTCTTTTAGATCATTAGGGATAAAAACACACTCTTCAATGCATTATGGTTTCTCAGTTCCAGCAGCAACTAGGCCTCATCATCGTCACGAGACGAAGATCAATACGATATTCTTGGAAGATGAGGAGTCGGAGTTGTTGTGGCCGGGTAGTTTTCGAAAGGCCTCGGACTCGGAGGAGGGTGATGGACAAGAGAATTTCATACTCACTGAGGTGAATCCATGTGTGGACAGAGAAAAATCTACACCAGATTTGACATTGAAACTTTGAAGGTTGTTATGTTGGAAAACTTGGATTTGAATTTAGTTTTATGTATAGTGTAAGACATGTATGAAAATTTGTTATGATTGCTAGATTGGTCACTACTGCTACACTTGTTGGTTTTTACTTTTACTTTCATATTTAGTTTTCTATTAGGAGTTTTTGCTTTGGTGTATTGTTTGTGTGTTTCTCATTGTATAATAATAGCCCTATGAGAACAATATAGAAACTTGTTTTATTTGCCACATATTCTTCATGTTGAGTCAACAAGGTGGTTCAAGCATATGCAATTCAAGAAAACTCAGTTGAATTAGATATCAGTTTCACTTATCAAAATGCTTAATCATTACAAAGTGGATTGAAATTTAGGAAACATATTGTGTATTAGGTGTATAGTCCTTTGTAATTAAAAAGTTTAAGGTATACTTGAGTTAGTTGGCTCAAACATTATAGTGAAATCTCAACTAGTGAGGGATGAACAAGTCCATTTGAGTGAATTAGGGTACTGAGTGTATTAATCATTTTATTCTTAACTCGTTATACTTTTATTGTTTTATTTATAAACATTTTAAATTTAAGTAGGATGATTGAAATGGAGAATGGTATCAGATATTTTATGTGATGTAAAGATACTGTTCGAGTTAAAGAAAAAAAAAATTATAATTGCGGTAAAACATATGATTTTGTACGGGATAGAATGTTGGACGATTATGAATCAATACGAGAATAAGGTAAGTATAGTAGAGATATGATATTGCAGTGGATGTGTGATAAGACTCGACAGAAAAAAAATAGAAATGAAATTATTAGAGAGAGTGTCGGGGTAGCGTCTATAGTAAAGAAGATGGTGAAAAATAAACTTAGGTGGTTTGGGCATATAAAGAGAAGACCTGATAATTTTGTAGTAAGGAGAGTAGATCAGATGGAGAGAATACAAACAGTTTGAGGAATAGGAGGACCTATAAAGACTATAAGAAAAGTTATTAAGAAAGATCTCGAAATAATTTGGATAGAAACATGGTCATTAAAACAATCTAGCAAAAATTGATTCATATAGTTGACTCCATCTAGGAGGATAAACATATTTATTTACTTTAATTTCTTTAAGTTTAAACATCTAACCCTAAACATATACATATGTTCTAGGAAGTTCAATAACTAACTTATGTTTCTAATGTCAAGTTTATTCTGAAAAGTAAAATTTGTTTAAAACATAATTTAAAAGAATCACAATTCAATCAAATCTTTTTTTCTTGTGCCTATCAATCCATTTCAATTGACATCTGAACACGACTCTAGTGGATTGAACATCTGGAATGTGTTAGAATTTTTTTTTAGAAAAACACGGTGTCAAAAGTTAAATTCATTTCAGAAGACGAATAATTAAATTAATCACCACTCTTCGATGGATTAAAATAATATTTTTGGAAAGGAAAAATGCAAATGTTTTTTTTAGTTTCATTATACATGAATATGAAAGGTAATCTCGGATGGTAACTATGTTCCAAAATAAGAATATGGAGCTAACAAACTAGAAAATACATGTTTGCAAATGATAAAATTATGGTATTAGAAAACACATGAATTGAAAATGTCACATTTGATTAGTCTAACCCTTTGCATGGATAGGTAGAAGTTGTTGGTTGTTCAGGCAACTTTGAGAAAACATATTTGAAAGATCAAGATTAAGAAAAAGATCAAAGTTAAACTGAAGATATTCAAGCTGGAAAAAAAAATGGAACATTAGAATCTTTCTAAAGAATGGAAAATTACCAGAGATTATGCAATCTAAAATGTTATTAGAGATATTTTTAAGAAGGGTCATCACATAAGACTCCCTTGTAAGGTATGTGACCATATGAATTTTGTTTCTCAAATTGATTCAAAGAAAGTTTATAAGACTCTCATAGACTAATATTGATCTCTTGATGTACAAAAAGATTTAAATCAATTTGAAAGAAATAATGTTCGAGAACTCGTTTCCAAATCTTCGTCTAATTAAGTAATTGGAACTCGTTGGATTTTTTTTCAACAAACTTGATGATGATGGAAATGTTTTAAGAAATAAAGCAAGACTTGTTATGAAAGGATAAAATCAACAGAAATGCATAGATTTCGATGAAACTTGTGTTCGTGTAGCTCGATTACAATCCATAAGGATGCTTCTAACAATCTCATGCATCATGAAATTTAAACTCTTCCAAATGGATATAAATAGTGCATTATTGAACGGTTACATCCAAAAGAAGTGTTTGTTGGTCAACCTCCGGCCTTTGTAAACTCTTCCTTTCTTGATCAAGTTTTTAAACTGAAAAATGCTTAGTACTACTAAAAAAACAAGCTCCTAGAGTTTGGTGTGACCGTTTGAGCAAGTTTTCAAAAAGGGAAGGTTGATAAAACCCTTTTCATCGAGAAATATGAGCATGAAATCTTATTAGTTCAAATTTATGTCGATGATATCATATTCAGTGGTACTAACAAATCCTTGTATAAGGAATTTTTTTAAGTGATATAGAATAAGTTCGAGATAACAATGATGGGGGAGATTTGATATTTCACAGGCCTTCAAATTAATTAATCTAAAGAAGGCACATTTATTAATCAAGCTAAGTACTGCAAAGAACTACTCAAGAGGTTCGACAAGGACATGATAAGGTTATCTCCACTCCAATGAGTACTTCATGTCACATTGATAAAGACATGGGAGGAAAACCAATCAAAGAAAGAAAGTACTAATTTATGATTGGTTCTCTCATTTATCTCACTGGATATCATCCTCATATCATTTTTTATGTGTGTTTTTATGTTATTTTTAAGCAAACCTCGAAGAATCATGAGATATCATACTAGCACCACTAATGAGTTTATAGTATCCTAAAGGGACTGATTATGTCATAGTTGGGATCAACTGAATTCCAATCCCATGCAGATTTCTCATCAATCACAATGTCTTGACACATCCCAATCTTATCGTTCTTTGGATTGAATAGTTTGTATGCTCCAGTCTTATGATATCCTACCAGAATCATAGGTTCAATCTTGTCATTATGCTTCCTTCTTCTTGCATCAGGAGCATGCTTATAGAAAATAGAGCCAAACACCTTAAGATGAGTCATTGATGGTCGTTTGCAACTTCACATTTCTTCAGGAACCTTGTTCTTCAGCTTCTTGGTAGGTCACTTGTTCAGAATATAAACAACAATCGAAATAGCTTCATCCCAAAAGAACTTTGACAAATTCTTCTGCTTCAGTATGCATCTCGCTATGTCCAATATTGTCTTGTTTCTTCTTTCGGCTATTCCATTGTATTGAAGAGTATAAGGAGCAGTTACCTCATGATCAACACCATGTTCTGCATAGGATGCTTCAAATATCTTGGATGTGTATTGTAACACCCTAAATATCCCCCGCGCCATTGAAATAAATTCATCAGAGTAAATTAAAATCACACATTTAGGATGCTGCTTTTCAACAAACACCTGCTCATGCAATCAGATATGTAACATAAGTCACTTTTAAACATTACTAATAGTAGTAGTAGTAATAATAATAATAATAATAATAATAATAATAATAATAATAATAATAATAATAATAATAATAATAATAATAATAATAATAATAATAATAATAATAATAATAATAATAAATAAATAAATAAAACATGTTTGAAAATCCAACCTTATTGTAGCGGAAACATCAACAACTTGACAGTTTAATGATTCAAAGCATAATCATGTTTTAAAGTAATCAGAAGCAACATCATTTTAAGAGATATCCAAACAATCTCCAAAAAACATAAATGACATAAATGTGTTCCATTCTCCAGTGTTACACATCAGAGAAGACACCGACTCTATAACATAAAAGGAAAACACCATCTTCCAAACACATTTACGCTCTATTGCGGATTATCTGCACGATGCCTGTGTAAAGGCAATATTCAAGCAAAGGGGTGAGATATCATGATTATATAAAGGAATGCCTAATAATATGTAAGCAGTAAATTATTACATGCACAATCACCCATTCCATCAACCACACATCCACACACTCCAATCATAATAACACAACAAATGCAATGCAATAAGACTCAACAACTTGACTCAATGTATGTGGTACCAATACGTGAACTCTCAGGTTCACCGCTCCAATCCCCACCTAGGATCAGAGCCCACCAAAAATTGTCACCACGGGCAACGCTTTACTAATTCCATCACCATAGGAAATTAGCTACTCACATCCAATCCACACAATGGGATTGATGCTCACCAAAATTTTGTTACTATCACCTTAGGTAATGCTTCACTAATTCCATCACCATAGTGAAGGAAAATTGCGATCTAAACGCAGCGGAAAACAAAAATTTCCTTTAGTGATCCTTACGAATGAGCATGGTCAGTGATAGAATCGTTACCTCTTTGTGGCGATTCAGATCTTTGATGCAGCGATCACAAGCGTTGATGAAGTGCAACGCCTCTACTCAGTCCACACGAACAGCTTCCGGTCACAGTGCTAGCTGCTTACGAACGGAATTATTTGAGTGAGAAAAGAGAATCAAAAACGAAATTGCATCAAGTGAAAGCTTCATCACAAGGGTTCCTTTTATAGACTCTCTTGTGGGCTGCGGGCTAAAACCCAATTCACATGATCCATAATAATATTATATATTATTATAATAACTATTATTATAATAAATATATTTATTTTATTATTATTTTATAACCATTATAAAATAACAATAATTATTATTATATTATCCGAATTTCTATTTTTCACTTAAGTGCACCGTACCTTACGGTGTTCCTTTTTTATTTCTCTATCTCTCATCAAATTGTCCTTATGTGTGTGACCCTGTAGGATTTCGTAACGTTGGTAATTATATTAAATTATATATTTAACATAATAAACAGTAAGCGGTATCTAGCAACACATCACTGCTACCCAAGTCACGAAAATGTCATGTGATCTGACAAAACCTTTTTCGTGATAATATATGTTTGTACAAT